AAGGTCAAGGTCACACCCCGTCAAATGTAAAAAAAACACATTTAGTGTCAGCCTTATAACTCTTAAACTGCTGAAAATTATTATTTTTAGAGGTATTTATTGTCTAACTAATGCTTATTTCATATACAAAATCGGTACCTGATATTTCAAATGTAATCAAATTAAAACTACTCGGTAAAAGTATTAAATATATTACAAGATAAACTAATATACTTCTGGAAAAATAGCCAAACTTTGAAAATCGCTTTCAATTGGGTAAATTTAAGAATATTTTAATTAGACTCTCTGAGCAACAAAATGGTCAAACAAGTGTTGAAAATAGGTGGGAAAGGGTAACATTTTTACACATATTTCAGATGTTTTGAGAAGAAACAATAATTGTGCTTCAGTCGATTGTTAGCTGAGTGCAATCATTTGTTCCATAACATTTATCCATATGAAAACGTTTTTATATGCCCGAAAGGGCATATTATGTTATACCCCCTGGCGTCCGTCTGTCTGTCTGTCTGTCCGTCCGTCCGTCCGTTAGCAATTTGGTTTCCGGAGCATAACTTAAGTTCCATTTGGCCCACAATGTTCAAACTTCATAGGATGATTGTCCATATTAGGTAAAACAACCCTATTGATTTTGGGGTCAAAAGGTCAAAGGTCAAGGTCACTATGACCTTAAAACTAAAAACAGTTTCCGGAGCATAACTTAAGTTTCATTCGACCAGAAATGTTCAAACTTCATAGGATGATTGTCCATATTGGGTAGAAGACCCCTATTGATTTTGGGGTCACAAGGTCAAAGGTCAAGGTCACTATTACCTTGATACTGAAAACAGTTTCCGGAGCATAACTTAAGTTCCAATTGGCCCACAATGTTCAAACTTCATAGAATGATTGTCCATATTGGGTGAAAGACTCCTATTGATTTTGGGTTCAAAAGGTCAAAGGTCAAGGTCACTATGATCTTAAAACTGAAAACAGTTTCCGGAGCATAACTTAAGTTTCATCGACCCACAATGTTCAAACTTCATAGGATGATTGTCCATATTGGGTAGAATACTCCTATTGATTTTGGGGTCACAAGGTCAAAGGTCAAGGTCACTTTTACCTTGATACTGAAAACAGTTCCCGGAGCATAACTTAAGTTCCAATTGGCCCACAATGTTCAAACTTCATCGGATGATTGTCCATATTAGGTAGACGACCCCTATTGATTTTGGGGTCAAAAGGTCAAAGGTCACCATTACCTTAAAACTGAAAACAGTTTCCGGACCATAACTTAAGTTCCATTCAACCCACAATGTTCAAACTTCATAGGATGATTGTCCATATTGGGTAGAAGACCCCTATTGATTTTAGGGTCACAGGGTCAAAGGTCAAGGTCACTATTACCTTGATACTGAAAACAGTTTCCGGAACATAACTTAAGTTCCAATTGACCCACAATGTTCAAACTTCATAGGATGATTGTCCATATTGAGTAGAAGACCCCTATTGATTTTGGGGTCAAAAGGTCAAAGGTCAAGGTCACTATATCCTTAAAACTGAAAACAGTTTCCTGAAAATAACTTAAGTTTCATTCGACCCACAATGTTCAAACTTCATAGGATGATTGTCCAAATTGGGTAAAAGACCCCTATTGATTTTGGGGTCACAAGGTCAAAGGTCAAGGTCACTTTTACCTTGATACTGAAAACAGTTTCCGGAGCATAACTTAAGTTCCATTTGGCCCACAATGTTCAAACTTCATAGGATGATTGTCCATATTGGGTAGAAGACCCCTATTGATTTTGGGGTCAAAAAGTCAAGGGTCAAGGTCACTATATCCTTAAAACTGAAAACAGTTTCCGGAGCATAGTTCCATTTGGCCCACAATATTCAAACTTCATAGGATGATTGTCCATATTGGGCAAAAGACCCCTTTTGATTTGGGGTCACTATGTCAAAGGTCAAGGTCACAATTACTTTAAAACCAAAAACAGTTTTTGGAGCATAACGTAAGTTCCATTTGGCCCACTATATTCAAACTTTATAGGATGATTGTCCATATTGGGTAGAAGACCCCTATTGATTTTGGGGTCACAAGGTCAAAGGTCAAAGTCACTTTTACCTTAATACTGAAAACAGTTTCTAGAGCATAATTAAAGTTCCAATTGGCCCACAATATTCAAACTTCTTAGGATGATTGTCCATATAAGGTAGAAGACCCCTTTTGATTTTTGGGTCACAAGGTCAAAGGTTAAGGTCATTATTAATAACTTAAGTATTAATCAACCTACAGCTGTAAAATTTTATAGGATGAACAGCTAATTCCCATGTCTTACAAATGCTTCATCTTTACTACAAAAAACCACTTTCGGGCATATAATGCTCCGCCTAGCGGTGCTCTTCTTTATTATAAGCGTGATGTTATAGATTATTTAGAGATAGCTAAAGAATTTTTCAGTTCTTTATAAGTAGAGGATATTGAATGGGTGTAAGTTTAATACTGAATTTATTGAACGACTTGAATAAAATTATATTATGAAAGCCTTTGGTGAGCATGATATTATTTTATTTTACAAGTTCAATAAATTTAGTGATAAAAATTTTTCATTAACGCGCCTATAGTAAAACGCTCACATTTAATTAGCACGTCTTAACGCTATGTTTGTATAACACAAATGACGTCACGTCAAAATATATGCACGACCGTGCAATACCGTTTTTATGGAGTCGCAAAATCGGCGATAATGGCCATTATCATACCTTAAACAAAGAAACGTTAAACCTAGGTGTAAGAAAATCATAAAGAAAACATAAATCTATAGTATCTACTAAGCTTAAACTGTTATATACAGACATCCAAAAACAGTGAGAGAAATCTAACACCTTAACAGTACCCGATTTAAGAAATATAAAATATATTAGACACTTATGTTTATTTTTTGTATTTGTTTGTTTGTTGTTTTTGTCCGATTTTATTCTTGTTCCTTTACATATTAAACCTTTAACCCAGCAAACACAAGACGTCATACTGATGTCAGATTTAAGTCAGGTTCTGACGTCGGATGACGGTCGGAAAAACAGTTGGATTTGAAAGTTTTTTTGACGTAATAATCTGACGTCAGGTAGACGTCAGAATCTAACCATTAATTAACCTTTTTCTGACCAAAATCTGACCATTATCTAACCATTTTCCGACCTCAATCTGACCATTTTCCGACCTCAATCTGACCATTTTCCGACCTAAATCTTACCAGTTTCTAACCATTTTCCGACCTCAATCTGACCATTTTCCGACCTATATAATAACCCTTTTCTGCCCTAAATCTGATCATTTTCTGACCTTCATCTTATCATTCCCCTAATCCTTTTTGTTTCACCACGTCATAAATATTTTCTGGCTAATCCTGATTTGATCTAATTTAATGTAACTCAATCTATTAAGTAACTTTTACAAAACAAAAAGTATTACAAAAACAATGTCATAAATGAAACTAAGAAAACATGTACAAATATTAAAGAACAAAACAATGTATGCACATTTCTATCAAAGTTTGCCTTATCAAATAAAACAATGGAAATATTATAATTTTAAGAACAGTTAAAAGATTCTGATAATAATGTTTCAAGCAATTTATGACAGATTTTCAGTACTTTAACTATATTTGTACAGCATTTCTAAAACATTTAGTGGCATTTTGCATATTTTGACCTTCTTTGATAATTGTCAGTAATGTATAAATTGCTGCCTTTTAGTTACTTCACATAGTTATACTTTTAGATATCCATGAGAATTAGCACGAATTTTGAGGAGTGATGCTTTAAGATATGACCTTCTTTCAGCACACCTCGTCTGTCAGGAGGATATGTAGCGTTTGTAGCGCACAATAGCGTGTGTGACATCATTATCACTGAAAAAAAAAGAAATTTATGAAACATGTCAAAGTAACAAGCAAAAATGTTTTCATGGTTATCTTAACTTAATGAACAATTTTGCCAACTTTTTATAAGAGAGCTTTAACAAAAATTAAAAGTAAACATAAATACTGAACATTTAAAAAAGCCGCTTTTAAACTCCAGTTTAGTATGGATTAAAGTACATGTATGTAATAGAATTTACAAAAATCTTACTTTCATGCATATGTTTCTTTTTACATATTCACGTGTTTCCGTCCCTCCGACCTTTGAGAGCATGTCCAACACTTTAACTAGATTCTACCTGAAAAGAAAATTATATTCTAACTTATGTATATATTCTACGTTTGAAATAGAACAGTTACGCAAGTCTTAAATATTTCATAGTTTTAAATTAAAGATTTAATGCCAAAATGTCTGGACCCAAAACGTCTTGCGTTATTTGGGACCGGAACGTTTTGGGTTATTTGGGACCGAAACGTCTTGGTCCGAAATGCTCGAAATCGTACAAATTCATTCTCAATTCTCAGATTTTAACTCGGACAAAAACATCACAGTTTAAGAAAAATATGAAAACTAAGCATTCTCTTTGGTAGTACTGAAAGGCATATTATAAACTCTTCACAAGCAGAGTTAAAACATGTCAATTTTAAAAAGATTTATTATTAGACATTATCGCGAATTTGTGTGGCATTTTACTTCAGCTGTTCAAATAATGATAATTAAATTTAAGAGTGCTTGCAATCATGCAATTATTTATCAAATACAAAGTAGAAATAAATCTAAATAAAGTGAACTGACCTTTTTGTTCAAGAAAATCTATAATATTCACTTATCAATGCATCCCGATTCCTGACCGACAGCCAAAACGTAACGCCTACGAATTTGAATTTCCATCTACGTGACTTTAGATTCGAATTAAAGGTTAATTATGTTTTCTTTCCCTTTTCTGTCACTATGATTAAATGTTAAAGCACTATTAAAAACTCGTAATTTTGATACATATAATGTACCACAAATGATAATATTACAACGTTAAATGATTGGAACTTGTAAACAGATCTATGGCTATAAATAGATTTCATAACAATAACACATGTAACTTGCGTATAGATAGTTTTCATGTGACGTCATGACTTCCCATCATCCGTTGCGCAGTCTACCGTGGCCGCCATTTTGATTGGCAAACAATACAGTTCCGTGGTTCAGTGAACGTACATGTAAACAATCTTAATTTAGAACAGAAATGGTAATTTCTTGTTGGGTTAATGGTTGCAGTAATCGTGCAGACCAAAGTCGTAGCTTGGGATTTTATTCAATTCCATCTGTCAGAGAAAATGAAGGCGAATTTACGAAGAGTTTGACAGAAGAGCGACGAATACTGTGGATTTCTAACATAAATCGAAAAGATGCGCCGACGAAGTATTCTAAAATTTGCTCCGATCATTTCTTGAAAGGTTTGTCAAAAATATAAAATAATATAATTATGAAGCTTCGTGTTATTTATTTCTGCAAATATAAAATTATTGAGTAAAATAAAAAAGTAAAAGTAAATATAAGGTAAAACCTTATTCAAAGAAGTAGTAAATGAACATGCACCAATCAAACAAAAAAAGGTTAAAAAAGAATCTCCCCCTTTTATGAATGGAGAACTCCGCAGAGCCATTTATGTAAAAAGAAAACTTAGAAATTCATTTTTCAAATATAGAACTGATAAAAACTGGGAAAAATATAGGAAACAGAGAAATTTAGTTACAAAACTTAAAAGAAACTCAATGCAAATATATTTTTTTGAAAGGTGTGGTGGGGGACCAAAGTCAAAACATTTCTGGCCTACTATAAAACCTTTTCTTTCTAGTAAAAATACAGCCAAAAATGATGCTCAAATTATATTAAATGAAAATGATACATTAATAACAGATCAAAATAAGGTATGCAACATACTTAATGATTTTTATGTTAATATAGCTCAAAATATTGGTATCAACAGTGATATAATGATTAATGAACAACACCCTAGTGTACAGGCTATCTCTGATAAAATCCAAAGCAATAATAATTTTGTATTTAAACCTGTTACATCTCAGGAAGTGCATAAGCTTCTGCACAGTGTGGATGGTAAGAAGGCCACAGGTATTGATAACCTACCTCCAAAAATTATAAAAGCAGGTGCTGAATCTCTTGCGGAGCCTATAAAATGTATAATAAATAAATGCTTTATTAATAATACTTTTCCGGAGTCCCTGAAAATGGCTCAGGTTACTCCAGTTTATAAAAAAGAAGATCCTTTTCAAAAGAAAAATTATAGGCCTGTAAGTATTCTGCCCACTTTCTCGAAGATTTTTGAACAATCAATAAATAAGCAACTAGTTTCATACTTTGACAACATTTTTCATAATTTTCTGGCAGCTTTTAGATCTAAATTTGGATGTCAAACTACTCTTTTACGGCTAATAGAAGACTGGAAAAATGCCTTGGATAGACATGAGTATGTAGCAGCAATACTCATGGATCTGTCAAAGGCATTTGACTGTCTCCCACATGACTTGATCGTATTGAAACTTAAGGCCTATGGCTTATCTGACACAGCCGCAGAACTTATGCACAACTACCTGTCAAATAGAAAACAAAGGGTTAAGCTTGGTAAAGCATGCAGTGACTGGATGTCAATAAGTAAGGGAGTTCCCCAGGGATCCATTCTAGGGCCTCTTATTTTTAACATCTTTATTAACGACATCTTTTACTTTATTAAATTAGCCACTGTGTACAATTATGCTGATGACAACACATTATCTTACTGTGATACCAATATTGACTCTTTACAATCTATACTGGAAAATGAAAGTTTATCTATGATAAAATGGTTTGATAATAATCTAATGCAAGCCAATCTGGACAAATGTCAGGCAATTTGTATTGGAAAACAAACAACTAGTAAATTAACCTCTTTTTGTCTTAATAGTACAGAAATTGTTTGTGAAAAAAGTGTGAAACTTCTTGGTGTTAAAATAGACTCTTTACTAAACTTTGACTTACATGTATCCTACATTTGCAAAAAGGCTGCAAAACAAATCAACATTCTTGCTAGACTGAGTAAATTCTTAAATCAAAATACTAGATTGTTAATTTACAAATCCTTTGTTCGTTCAAACTTAAACTATTGTCCTTTAGTTTGGCATTTGTGTAGTAAACAAAATACTGAAAAACTTGAAATGTTGCAACATAGATCATTGAAGATAGTATTTGAGGATTACAGCTCATCATATGAATTTCTTTTAAGTAAAGCTAACATGCCAACATTACATATCAGTTGATTAAGACAATTAGCTATTTAAGTTTTTAAATGTTTACAAAATATATCACCAAAATATGTTCAAGAACTTATTACAGTAAATTCATCTTACTAGTATTACTCTTTTAGAAATAACAACACACTTGAAGTTCCTAGAGTAAATACAGAGACTTATGGTAAGAAAAGCTTTCGCTATGAGGCCACCCAGGTCTGGAATAGCCTCCCGAATGAACTAAGAACAGAAACTGATTACGGTGAATTTCGGAGGCTTATCCAAACCTGGAGTGGCTTCAAATGCAAATGTTCTATGTGTGCCTAAGTGTTATGTTTTTTGTTGAGTTTTGAAATGTGAATCAAATGAATCTGCATGCTTCTTTTGTTTCTTCTTTTGTTTTTCCTGTATTTCTGTCTGCCATAGAGTAATGCTTTATAAGACCTGTTTTATCATGTAATGCTTTTCATGTGCTTCTTGTGTGTATATTTGTATAGTCATTTGTCAGTGCATGTTAGTGTTTGTATATGTGACAGCTGCTGATCAGCTTTTCATATATCCCATAAAGGGGACAATAGCTTCTTAAAGTCTATTTTAATTAAAGTAAATTCCTCTTATTACTCTTTTAGAAATAACAACACACTTGAAGTTCCTAGAGTAAATACAGAGACTTATGGTAAGAAAAGCTTTCGCTATGAGGCCACCCAGGTCTGGAATAGCCTCCCGAATGAACTAAGAACAGAAACTGATTACGGTGAATTTCGGAGGCTTATCCAAACCTGGAGTGGCTTCAAATGCAAATGTTCTATGTGTGCCCAAGTGTTATGTTTTTTGTTGAGTTTTGAAATGTGAATCAAATGAATCTGCATGCTTCTTTTGTTTCTTCTTTTGTTTTTCCTGTATTTCTGTCTGCCATAGAGTAATGCTTTATAAGACCTGTTTTATCATGTAATGCTTTTCATGTGCTTCTTGTGTGTATATTTGTATAGTCATTTGTCAGTGCATGTTAGTGTTTGTATATGTGACAGCTGCTGATCAGCTTTTCATATATCCCATAAAGGGGACAATAGCTTCTTAAAGTCTATTTTTACCTTTTTATTTCTACTTTTATTTTATTTTTGTTCTAATTAATTAAGTAATTAACTTAGACCATGAATTTATCTAGGCCAACTCAGATCAGCATCTGTTACACAAACATTTCAACATTTTAAGTTTTATTATTATGATACTTGTACATGTTTTAGTTACACCCATAGTTTCATGACTGAGTACATATCAGATGCTGCTACTGATATGTGCTCAAGCATCATACTTGAAATTATGTTAACTATATTTAAATAAAATAAAATTGAATCATTTACTTTAATTTATTTTAAAAATTTAAATTTTTAAAAAATTCTAATCCTTTTTCTGATTTTAGGGTTGTGTACATAAATAGCACTCTTGTATGATGTAATTTTATGTGATGTTTGATTGTAATGTATATTTGCTTTTAATCATTTAATGCTTTCTTACCCATATTTATATGTGCTGATAAATCTTAACTGTTTTACAGAGTCTTTCATAAATGTACATTGATCTTCTTAATACTTTTATATATTTTCTTTTATACAGATTGTTTGTTTGAATTGTTATAGGATAATAAGTTTTGTCGGAAAATAGCTTATATAGCTAATGTTTATATGTTTTTATGAAACCGACTTTAAATAAAGATTATCTTATCTTATCTTATCTTATCCGGAGCGGTATGTATCCATACAACAGTCGGCCTAACGCAACGTCATCTTCGACTTCAACTAATGAACAATTCTATCTTACTTTAAATGCATATGAAAACATATTTCTCATGTTATTTTTGAAACTAAATTTATGAATATTTGACTGTTTCAGGAAAACCGGCATCTATGTACCATCGCTCAGATCCAGACTGGGCTCCTACTCTAAATTTAGATGGTGCTATGACTCCAACAAAATCAGTGTTGAAGAAAAAAAAGATTGAAACAGATAGTAAAAGGTAGGCCTAATTTAGAGTTCATTCATTTCAATTTAAATTACAACACACAGCTAAACATTGTCCAGTATCTTTTGAACTGGAGGGGGGGGGTATTGTTTTTTATTTATATTTGTTATCTCACAATTTTTTTCCACAAAAAAAGGAAAAGA